TCACAGAGCAGAGCTTTACTGTTGTTTGTTTTTTTTTTTGCTGAAAATGTATGACGATTTGCGGTTATTCCGAGATATCTTTTCTTGGGAGGTATTAGCGTGTGTGAAAACTTTATTTCTGGAAGCCACACCTTTTGACCTCATTTGCATATTGCTAAGAGAGAAGTTGAAAATAATATGTCGAAAATGATAATACCAAAATGATATGTAGAAAATGATAAGTTTAAAATGATAATACAAAAATGATATGTCTAAAATGATATGTTAAAAATGATAATAAAAAAATGATATGTAGAAAATGGTATGTTTAAAATGATCATACCAAAATGATATGTCGAAAATGATATGTTTAAAATGATAATACCAAAATGATATGTAGAAAATGGTATGTTTAAAATGATCATACAAAAATGATATGTCTAAAATGATATGTTAAAAATGATAAGTTAAAACTGATATGTAGAAAATGGTATGTTTAAAATGATAAAACCAAAATGATATGTCGAAAATGATATGTTTAAAATGATAATACCAAAATGATATGTAAACGTGTAATTAGTGAGGAAATGACAAAACATATTTGTTTTATCACAATCTACTAAAGCAATATGACAAAGTTGACGGTATCATAATAAGGATTAGACAATTGAACAGAGCATCTTATTTTGACCCAAAAACCCTTCCATACACGTTCTAATCCACAACCGCAAGTTTGTAAAGTCCTGGTTTATGTTATTAGACAAAGTGAAACGTGAATCAAAGTTGTACGCAAAAGTTGAATTTAAACGCACCCAGGGGGACGAAAGGAGGGAACGCAATGGGTCTGACTGTCTTTAACAGTGAGTTTGTGTAGTCTACGAGTTACATACACACTTGACACAGTTGCACGCTGAAGTTGAATTAAACCTAAATTTCCTAATTTTCCTCCAAGGCCTTCAGACCACATTTAGGCCCGTTCCTATCCACAATGTCAAGTAGGGAGGTAAGGGTGGGGGGTTGCAATTAGTCTGACTTTCTTTCGAAAGCATAGAGTTGTACGTAAAAGTTGAATTAAACTTGAAAAACTCCCTTTTTCATAGGCATACAACCATAAATACCATAAATTAAGAAGATAATATATTTCTACTAAGCACAAATCAGAAAGAATAATCAGTTTATGGCAGTGGTGTATAGTCATCAGTAAAACCAGTTGGACTGTCGTGGTCTGGCGATCCGATAAGGATTGTAGTACCGTCCATTCTCCATTCTGTGTGGTGATCTAAACAAATCATACATCTGGTTTCTTTCTTCTCTGTCAGTACTTCCACTTATTCCATAGTTCCATAAACCAAACCAGCTTTGACCTGTATTGGAAAAAAAACAATTGCCCACGACCCACGAAGCGCTTATGATATTTTACCATTCAAGAAATTTTAGTCCTTATAGGATTATCACCCAAACAAATATTATATATACATTGTCGATCTAACTAATAAAATACACCTTTCACTGTGATCCCGAGAGTGTTGTTCGCTTTTCGATAGAGTTCCAAAGGCCCTATCTGAAAGCCGGTTGATTTGTCTGAACTCAACTTATGCCGATTCTTGTACAGAAATGAAATTTATATCTAAAGCTTGGCTGGCGTGTGTCCGATCAAGTTTGGTATCTGGAACTTAAATTGTCCTGTAATTATATGGTCGATTTGTCTAAACTCAACTTATGCCGATTCTTGTCCAGAAATCATGGGCTTAATTTACGTGTTCATGTCCGATCAAGTCTGGCCGGCGTGTGTTCGTGCATGGTCCAATTTAGCCCGAGTGTGTTCATGTCAAAACAAGTTTAGCCGGTGTGTTGTAAGTTCTTGTCCGATCACGCTTGGCCGACATGAGTTCAGTCAATTGAGAAGATGAAATATATTCCGATAAGCGTCACGTGGTTTTGATATTCAGAAAATCACTTGCCTTCGTTTCCATTCGCAGCGTTAACTATCCCCCAAATTGTCAATGAGAAACATAAAACGAGGATAACAAACTTCGCCATTGTCTTCTATAAATACAAAAGCAAAAATATGATAGTAATAACAGATTCTTGTAATATTGGTATTATTGATACTGTGTTTGTAATAATGGAATAGAAGAACCTTCTCACAAAGAATTGGTAGATCGTGTATCAAGATCAATTTTAAAAACTGTTTTAAAATATCAATCATGTTGAATTATTATTGGAGCTTTTCTAGATCACACCAATTAACGGCTGACGGCAACTAGACATTTTACATAAAAAGACATACTTACATCGGGAACCGAAGGCAAATTACGAAATCCCTGATATGTAAATGGGAGAGTTGAGGTATAGACACGATTACATGTATATGTTTTAACCACAGAAAAAATCATTTTATAGCAAAATCTTTGACATGCTTTAAGATAGAATGCTAGTGATTTTCATAGCTAACATTTAAATTTAGAATATAAAGTTGTCAAAAATGAAAGAGAGAAAGCAATAATTCTTGGACAAGTTGCGCTCATTCTTTCTATATTTGACTTGACATGTAATAAATCAAGCTTATCTTTAAAAATAGTAGTCCCACATGCATATAACTACTCATTATTACTAGAAAATTCTCTCTGTCACAACAATGACTTTTATAAGATAGTTTATGTGTTAAAGTATCTAAGACATACGATTTATTGTGAAACAGATGTAGATCAATTTGCAAAAGACCAATTTTGGACGCACCTGTAATAGACTTTCTGGCTTCAGTTACTCCACTTGAAACAAAAGGAAAGATAAAATTCGAAAACTGTGCAACGTTGCACGCTGATTCACACGTCTTTACTAAATTGATGGTTCAAAACAATATGTGTCTGAATCAAGGTCATCTCTCAGTATAGAAATAGTTAGTATCTAGCACCAGATACAGCAGATCATACCCGATAACCATGTAATTATTACTGTCTACCTCAACAGAAAAACCATTGTACAATGTTTTGGTTCCATAAAGATAGTTTAGCTGAATCTGTCAACTATCAATTTTACTGACACTGGAACACAAGTGAAATGCAAAAGACCCGCGATAAATCAAGAAAAAGCAACTCATGCATTTCTTATTAACTGTGTCAAATTCGGATGACAAATTCCACGTAAAGCATTTGCTTTTCCACTATTCCATATGCAGAGTATAGTTTTCTTTTTTATTCAAAATAAAGCATTAAGCATAATAATTGTCGCCTCCATCGGACTGATCCATTGGCGAAGTGAGGCGAAGGGTTTCAAAATCATATACAGATAGAGGAATTTAGTCTTCTATCGCTTCAGATAACAAAGCATTCACAACAGCATTTAAGACAGACAAAGTATTATGGATGCTTTGTTCCATGGTCCATTGGTCTATCATTAATTGATTAATACATCTTAAGCATGGCAATAAATATTCTTATGTCACGAAGTCTGGCCGTTATAAATAACAAATAACCAAGAAGAGAAATTTAAGCTTAAAAAAATAAGAATTCTCCTTTGGTACATGACATTTATAACCACGACAGACCTGTTGCTATCAATCACACTTGACAATAAACTTATGTTTTGATGATCTGGGACAAATCTTTCCGACCAATAGACTATTGTACTCGTCGAACTGGTTTTTGCTTTTTCAAAGGTTAATTTGAATAATATGAAGATTGAATTATTTAACCGTTGATTTGACTACATGTACTTTTATATAAAAACGATGAACTTCATAGATTGAATACTGTTTTTATTCCATTATTCGGCGCATTTCTGGTATAGTCTCTTCATTATTAGGGCCAAATACTTAGGATGGTCTGATCACGGCATCTTGGGCTTTTCTTCAGTACCAGCTTCGCCAAAATCTGGAGTAGTAAAGAAGAACTTAAAACATATAAATCGCTGATCCTTGGAATGTACATCAGGTTCCATTACAAGAACGAAGACACAATTTTAGTAAAATGATTGATATCCCACAAAGCATGTTTTCTAAGACAAAAGTCAAACACAAATTTTACATGAGCACAGACTTGGGTTAAAAATTAAAACCTTTAGCAAAGATTTTGCAAATGTTTAGAAATATTGGGAAACAAAGTCGTCTCTTTCTAATTCTTAACTCATCTACGCCCCTTTCCGTTTGAAATGTATTTTCTTATCGTGTAATATATAGATTATACAGCATGAAAATATTTAACAATGAAGATAATAAAATCGAGGCACAACTGTGGTATGTCTCTTTGAAAAAAATGTGTTGGTGTACGTTACAAAATTCTGCTGTACATATCTTCCCGAAATAAAAAGAAATGACAATTACTTGACAAAAACATCATACTCAATGATTCCATCCTCAGTTGATAATATAATGACACTATAATGTCCACCATAAGGCAACACATCAGTATCCCGGTATTATGTTCAAGTTACTAGTTTGAGATAAAATTTACCAGTTGAAGAGAAACGTAGTAATAGGCTGACAAAAAATTTATCTATTGTCAGCTTATATTATTGATGAGAGTTTTAATAAGATAACGAATCTAAAAGTTCACAGTTAAACATGGCTAAAGAATTCAACCGACCTGCGCAAAATTTGCATCATTGATTTTTTTTAACAAAACATGCGTAATATTGAATAGGTTAAATGCGGGTCAATTTTTCACTATATATACTACGAATGTTGGAACAGATTCAAATCAGTCAGTGGACTTGATAGTGACTTGCAACTCAGGTTAGTGTTTTCACCTTATTAACTTAGTGTATTACTAAATTTTTAATATGCTTGATAGATTTCATTCAAGGAAAATAATGACTTTTAGGCTGAAGGATGATCAGATCCTTTTAGTCCACAATTTAGTCAAATTAAAACACTTGCATGTGTTAACCATGGTGCTATTTGTCCTTCTTCTTCACCACAACGATCAAGCTCTTTCTCTACACTGTCGTGACATCTGAGATTTTAGAGTATTTGGTTATGAATGTATAGTTAATCATATGAATATACATTTAAGATAGAGAAAATGAAGTATTCTATGGTATTGTTATTGGTAATGGTTATTGACTTAACGAATGCTGGTAACAGTAATGACGGTAATTATATTTTTCTGTGTATAGTTATTTGAATTACTGCAGTAAAATCCCTGCATATCAATCGAATTGCACTTGGAATAACTACAATTTTCGAATCCATCTCTAGGTGATTATAAAAAAGAGTAAAAACAAGGTTGTTTGGCCTCTTGTCTTGTGATTTTCGTTGTAAATTAATTGTATATTACAGATACAGATACAGATAGCTCGAAATCCTTCAGAAGAACATCCTTACAAAAGAACCAATATTATGCCTACGTTAATCCTAAATTTACAGACATTACTAACAGAATGAATCAAAGGAGTGCCTCGATTCGAGCATTTCGCAACCAGAACAAAATGACGGCATTTTCTTCAAATCTAAACCCTTTGAGAAGTCAGTATACCAAACCAATCATATCTTATAACAATTTGATACGACCAGCTGTCATTAACACGATCCAAATCAATCAGAAACATGCTGCTATCTTAAATCGACCAACTACTACAAAAATTAACAAGATCCAAGGTAAAGTTAAGGACACATTATATCAGAAAGCAACCACTGCCCTAAATCGAGCAGATACTAATTACATCAACAAGATCCGAGGCACGCTTAAGAATAGCAGCTGTCCTAAATCGACCATCTACTAATGACATCAACAAGATCCAAAGTAAAATTAGTAACACATTGTATCAGAAACCAACTGCTGTCTCAAGTCGACCATCTACTACTAACATCAATAGGATCCAAAGTAAACATAGTAAAACATTGTATCACAAAAAAGCCTTCTTAAATCAACCAGCTTCTACTACATTAACACGATCCAAGCAGTAGATATATTAGCACCAAATGTAAATACAATCTACCAGCCAGACGTTAGTAATGTGAACACTGTTGGTATTAAAACCAAGACTATTCCCAATCGAATCGTGTATACCAATCCAATAACAGGAGGCAAAACAATATTTGTTCGAAACGTTGACGAAAATACTTATAGTCAACACGAGAAGGCCACGAACACAATTGTCCAGCTTACCACACCATTACCTAATAATATTGTACCATTACCAAACGTCTATAATATTCAAACTAAAATACCATCCAATCAAATACCATACTACCAAATAAATACCACTCCAGTACCAACTGCTGCATCCATATTAGATAATTACATTCAACCAGCCACAAGTCAAATTCACGGGGATCAAAGTTTTGCGAGAATGAATACACACCAATCACCAATTGTTAGAACTAATACTATTCCAGCCTCAAATTTAGCAAATTATGACCTACCAGTAACTACTTTAAATACTCAAAAACCAGTTGAACGGACCATGATGAATAGTCAAATGCAACCACTCAGCACCGTCAACAATCGTCAAATGGCAACTGAATATTCTTTAAATTACCCACTACCAGCTTCCAATACCATAAGGGGCAGTCAAATAACCAATAGCTTAGCAACATCGAACACTTATCCGACAAGAAATCAACAAACGAACCAAAAATATTCTGGTTTCCAGTCTCCTTCAAACCGGGTTTACACCAACTCTGTCAATCCACCACAACCAACTCCCACAAACCAACCTCCAACAACCGATACTGGTAATGCTCTCAACTTTGTTAGAGCGTTTTTTCAACAATTAATGCAACAACAACAACAGCCACCTAAGAACCAATACAAAATAGCTACATCCCCTACTAGCAAATATAATATGTAATAACTATGCATCATTTCTTCACAAACATAAGAGGTCTATTTGGTGTAAAGGTAGAATAAATAAAATTAAAAGTATACAGGCAGAATTATACCTGGACTTCCTGCAAGTAGGCTTCTTGTGTTTATGGTATGAATCGTCCAGGATGTTCATTATCATTTTGGTTATGGAATAACTTATTATTTACTATGGGATTATTGTTAATGTTTGTTTATATACTCGTAGTGGTAATTCACTATATTATTTCTTATTGTTAAATATCTAATAAAGGTTGATCTCAAACTTAGTCATTGGGTTTATTTTCAATACAAAAGAATAAACGCTTTCCATGTCAACCCTTCCAACTACCGTGGAAACTAGGGTGAAATCTTGGAATACATGTCAAGAGAAATCAGGTAAATAAATAAACAGTATTCTGATCATCACCAAATTCGATACATTGGTAACATTGTAACGCTGTAAATCAGAGCAAATTTATCCAATTATTTACTACTATGTAGGACTTTAGAAGCTCCGACGCATGGTCCCCTGCAAATGAATCACGAGCAGGATTTTCATTATGAAAAGTAAGGAAATTGGGAAGATCAAGCTTATAAATTTGTGTTATTCGATCATTTGTATCTTGCAGAATCAGAAGGTCTTAAGCCAACCCACAAATCTGCATGGCTTAATACTTCAATCAGGGCATATACACCTATTTCCTAAGAAGTTACTGAAAGATAATTAATTGTATATTATGTCCCGATTTCCCACTCTTGTAGGCATCTCGTATACCTATCCTGTTTATATCTAGGGTAATATTGAAGCAGGAAAGTGGGCAGGTGCATAACGCATGGCAATTGTGGAACTTTTTGTGGAAATGAGGAAGATTATTACCCGATAAACAAGTAGGTGTTGGAATCGTTTTTACAAACGCACAGTACAAGCAGTCCCTAATGGCCCCGCCACACGAGAAAGGCGTTCTTACTGCGCTGTTATTGCGACAGAAAATTGGTTTAGAGCATGTTAAGCATTGTCGTTCAAAATACGCAAATACACCCTGCAAAAACGTAAGATGGTCGCATTACTCGTGGAAAGAGGTCGACTGTAATTGATAAGGGACTTTTTCTCTCTTTCTCTACGCGTTTGACCGCGACTAGTAGTTCAATTCGCTGTAAGATTGTAAATGGCTTCAGTCCGGTGTGACGGGGCTATAAGGTGAGCACAAGTCGTGTTTATGAGGCAAAGGTACGATTGCTCCTTCTGCACTCAGAGATCTGATATTATGAAACCCACAGATGTTTCTTATATATCGACAATGTATTAAATACTATATAATGAAAATATAAAATTTTTGTTGATGATTTTTGCATTTGTCAATGTTCCGCAGATAATTATTTTTCTGGGCGAGTTTTATTCTTAATGGCCTAGACCCATTAATATATGTTTTATCTACTAACTTGTTGAAACAAATTTTGGGTTATGCGATTGAAATTTACTTTAATCTAAGAATTTGATTTAAGAGAGATATCAATAAGCCTTACAAATAAATTACATTTTAAAATAAAATCACCGAAAACCATGCTCGTACATAGCTAAACAATCGAGTTGTGTAAACGCTGATGATTAGTTGTTTTATGTGAATTACAGCTATGAATATACAAAGCGACATACAAGGCCAAATAATTGATATCACACAAAGCATGTTTTCTAAGACAAATACAAAAGTCAAATGCAAATCGTCTGTCAGATTAATTTTTATAATTATCTGTAGTTGATGAGCCCATGCTTGTTTGCATTCTATATGAATGAATTGATAATTGGACTCAAACATGTTGAAGGAACTGTTTTCTTTAATCGCTGTTACTCTTAAATCAAAACAGAACTTAAACGTGAACGAACATAATACATAATGCATTTTCTTGATTGATAAATGAGCTTTAACTTTTTGGAGGAATTGTTTTCTTTATTATTTGCAGACGATCTCTCATTGTCGCCAGATTCTGTTGGTGATCTTCGGGTCCGATAAGATACTGTCAGAAATGGAATAAAAATCTTACACCGAAAAAACCAAAAAGTATTTTAAGAGGCAGTATGCAAAATTTTAATATTTAATAAATTGTATATGAAAAGATTTCTAAAATAGTCTTTTTACTTCTATGTATACACTTGATCAAACAATTTTATTTCACGTGAACATTTTAACTAGTTTTGGCTATCTGAGAGATACTTTAAGTTAAAACTTTAAGACACTAGGGGAAACATTTGTTTAGATATTGGTGTATGTTTAGTGTAAATGTATGTACAAAAACATTCCCGACCAACTGAATCAGACTCGTAGTCAATTATAAAGGATAAAATGAAAAACATGATGTCTCGCAATAAGGACAATGGTTTGATTCATCGTTTTAAATCAAAACAGAATTCAAATGTGAACATACATAATGTATAATGCATTTTCTGAGCACAAAGTATTGTTTAAACTGTATATTCTTTTTGCACCAATTCGAAATCCTTCTCGACGTTTCATGTTCCTGAATATCAATTACCACATACCATTTGCCTAGAAACCTCTTTGGAATCACTATAATACACAGGTATAGTATATCCAAGAGGTAAATGAATACTGTGATGTTAGACTGCTGCATGATCTATGATCAGACATGATCTATCAACGTTCCATGGGAGGCTCTTTTCATACCAGTGATGCTGATGGCTACTTTAACGCAAGATACATTTGTAATACACCGAGTATCTGGGCAGGGTGATGATCGCGGTGGCTTAAAGATAACTTTTGTATTATATTGGCACAGCCAGTCAACAAACACCAATCTGAAATGGCAGGAGAATCAAATATAACAATACACAGTATACTTCCCTTTTAAATTTTTCTTCTGTGAACCTCTTGACCTCTTGACCTACAAGAAATGGTATTGATGATTGATACAGCAATAGACAAATACTATAATGGATTGACAAAAAATATTGACTCGTGTTAGATATTATTAGCTTTTATCTTAACCTCAAACACGCAGACGTTTTGTAGTAATATCATAGAATAACAAATGAGATATATTTTTTGCAAATGACATGGAGTAACTAAAACAGTATAAATTGGAGAAAATCTGTGGTCATGCATCTACTTTGTAGACAGACACAGAACAAGGATATAGAGAAGCATCTGCAGTCCTGCAATCAGCCGTTAATATTATTATATAAAGGTATGACTTGTTTTATCAGTCTCTTTCTCGCGAAAACATTGTTTGCATTTGTAGTAGAACAGATTGAAACGTTATAATGTTTTGGAAAATTGAACCGAGCACAGCATTTTGTTGATAATTTGGTGAAACTTTTGTGTCTTCATTTTTTTCTTATATCTTTGTATTCCATACAGAACTCGTTGTCATCAATATGAAAGCTATGATTATTTGTGCTGTTGTTATTATTGTTGTCGTCGGTTTCTGTGGCGCAGCAAACACCAAGGAAGGTAAGATTAACTGTCATCTATTTCTTCGCTTTTCTTAATTCAAGTTGAAGATCCAAGATTTTCACTAAAATGGTGACATAAAATATGATTGTACTGTTTCAGTATTTCACGAAGCTTGTAGCAAAATCTGTATTTAACACGGTTTACACAAAACTGTTATATATTATCAGTACCATTATCAATGAAGTACTATTAAGCACTATTCCAACAGTGAAAATATTTTGTTATTGTAATACAATGACTTGTTATTGTTACCGATCTTAGATAAAAATTTCCATGGTGAATTTCAGATCCAGATTTTAATTTCTTTGGAAGACATCACTATCAACCTTACTTCCCTCGATTTACAAACCCCTGGTACAGAGGAAATTTCTTTGGAAATCAGAACCAATGGTTTGGTGGATATAGAGATTATAACAGAGTACATCACAATTACAATCCTTACCAGGTAGCTGCTCCTGTGAACAATGGCTTATTTTGGTAGATGTAGATGACTACTTAATATTTCTTGTGAACCTCTTCCCAACTTTTATTCTATGATTTAAATGTACAATGTACATTATAATATTTGTGATAGTACATGTATGAGTCGTAATTGTATTACTTATTTTTATTTAGCAATAAATAATGTTTTCCTGGTGAACACTCGTTGAAATGACTTCATGGTTAAAGGGACATAACTTCATGATTTTTCCTTTAATATCCAAATAGCTGACATTAAAAAAGCATAGTATGGATCAACCAGTGTCTCGTGTGCAGAAATTACCTCTTACTAGACGTGATGTTGTCTGCTGTCATTATAATCTAAACAAACATGTTTATGGTTTTAGGACGTAAATCTAAATGTAATTATATTCATGAAGTTTCCTTCAGGTGAAACCACGCAATTTTCACAATTAATGATAATTTGTTAAGAAACCTTAGTGGACCCCATAGGCTTTAATTATTAATTTCATTGCAGGAACCTGTCATAGCTTCAATTTGAACTTTAACCTGAGCTTCCAACGACGTATGTTGTCGAGAAATGCTTCCCTTTTTTCCGTTTTTAAAATCATCGCAAGGTGGAAAGTGATTTAATACACTGATCTGATCAGAAAAAGAAAGATGTGATCATTGACAGGTGTATAGGTTGTTTGATTTTAAAACACTTTTTCATTTTGGTAGTATAAGCAATTCTACTATACGACTATATAAATATAAATTTATGTAGGGCAGAAATACGCGCCTCGTTAAGGTTTCCTTTGCTTATTTTACTTGTTCAAATCATGCTTATTGTTGGATTAATTGATGTTTCTAACGAATAGATCAAGTACTCTTGATTGCTAAGATTGTGTGAGGATGTAGAAAAGCTTGCGGATCAAATTGACTAAAATCCGATTGAAAAAGCTAAAATAGATTCCTGGTATTTTTCACAATCGTTAGAACACCTCTGCTTTCGATTTATATTCGTATTAGCCGTCCAATAATGGAATATATATATATATAACTAAATGAAAATAAGGGAACCGACCTTTAACGACTCTCGCATAAGAGTTTT